TTAAAAAAAATAAGCATCCAAGCAAAAACAAAACAACAAAAAAATAAATAAACAAAAAAAAAAGTGACAAGAATGACAAAGATCCTATCCTCAGTGAAGCACAAGACCAGGTGTCTCACTAAAATATCTCAAAGCAAAATATCTCGGTTAAATGGAACAATGCAATATTCAGTGTTAACAGTTGGTAATTCTGTTGTTCATTTTAAAGTTATTAATAGATTTTTAATCGATATGTCTTCCCAGTTGTGCTTTTATTGAGAATGAAGTTCATGATTTCTTTTTGAGAACAGATCTGCACTATGATGTGTGTGAGGTTTGCATGTTCTCCCCGTACCTGGGTGGGTTTTCTCCAGGTGCTCCGGATTCCTCAAACATTCCAAAAACAGGCATGGCAGCTTCATGGAACACTCTAAATTGCTGTGAGGTGTGATTGTGAACACGAATGGGTGTTTGCCTTTGTGTGCCCTGCCTGGCAACTAGTTCATGGTGTACCCAGTCTACTGCCTAAAGACATCTGGGATAGGCTCCAGCACATCCGCAACCCTTGTGAGGATAAGCGAATTAGAAAATGGATGGAGAAACATTTCTACTGAGGTAGTGACTGTAATATCCATGGATAGAGCATTCTAGAGCACTGAGTCTGAATAGAAAACGCTCTAGAACCCGCAGACTTCGTTTTGGCTCTCGGGACCACGAAAAGACCAGCGTTTTGCAAACAAAGGTTTCGGGACGAAACATACGGTACCACTTAGTCAACGTCTATTATCTGCATGATTCACCAAGGCAGCCACAAATTCAGAAAATTCATCTAAAAAGCCCCAGGGGGATAGTACAGTAAATAAATACAAGTTGAAACAGTAACAAGTCTGTGTGTGGTTTGCATTATGAGAAATGTGACAAAAGATAATTCCATTTGAATGGTACAAAATGCTTCAAAGCATTTTTTTTCAACCCGAATACTAATATTTGGGATATTGAGAGCTGTGATTGTAAGCATGTATGGCATAACTGTGTAATTGAGTAATTGAAAACGAAACATATTCTTTAAAATAGTAAGATTACAGTATTGAGGAAAGGGTTCGAGCAGAGTACAGTCGACACTTTTTCTCTCTTTGTGACATCCTGTCACAGTTGACAGTGGACAATTACAGGTGGTGCATACATATAAATTTAAAAAACAACAATCCCCCCCCCCCACACACACACACACACACAAGATCGAAGTATATTGAAATTGATGAATGCTCACTTCTGACTAGACACTCCTTGAGTCAGCAGGAATAACCAGCACAACTGCAGGGGCAGGGTGGAATCCCTGTATGCAGAAAGTGCAGATAATGCTTGTTCTTTCGTATATCATTATTGACAGTGATAAATTATTGTTGAAAAACCACCATGAAATTGTGTCATACTTGAGTGGCTTCATCCTTGGCTCATGCCAAACATTTCCGCAAGGATTTGTTGAAATTTGTCAATTATACTGAAAAAAGTCATGATGATGTTATAAATGTACTCGCCAATTCCCCAGTCTTGCTTTTGCTTCTGTTAAGTTTTCTCTGCGACTATACCATGTACATCTTGGGGTGCACTCTGTTCCTATTACACTGTGAGTACAAAACACAGAGAGAGAGTGCGAGTGAGAGTGAGAGTGAGAGAGAGAGAGAAAGAGAGAGAAAATTACCACCTTAGGAAATGCTCGTTCATCAGGCGCACACAATCACTTCACTAAAACAGCTACTAACATTTTAATGAAAATAACTGCAATGAGATGGATACTCAAGATAGAAATTACAGGCTATTGCTTAGTTATAATTTGTTTCACCTAACATAAAACAAACAATGGCTACCTGCCAATTATACTTGGGGAACTGTATTTTAGATCCCGTAAATATTGCACAGAAGACATTTTATAATGCACACAGGTACCACAGATGATGCTACCCTGAGCAGACCTACCTTCTGCAAGACTTTCTCAGGCTATCCTTTCAGGTACCACTGAGATGGATTCTTGAAATTGTTTATAGCTTCAATAGCAAAAGTACAGTAAATTGAATAGTCATTCCATTGCATCCCATTCAAGTTTTGGTCACAATCCACCGCACCCCTCAGGGTTGAATTAACTACAGGATTGTGATGCCTTTGTGTGGCGCTAACTGGTAAAAATGGAGCAAACAGACGTCTAATTCAAAAGGCACGGGCAGATGATGGAATGCGTCACGAACTACGATGCCAAACAAAATGTGTCTGTGTGCGCCATTTGTATTTGCGCATCTCCAGTTGGTCCAAAATGCTGCGACTGCTCGCCTCCTAAATGGAGCTTGTAAGAGGGAGCACATAACCCCAATTCCGGCTTCACTGGCACCCACGACATTTTAGAATTAATTTTAAAATGCTTCTATTTGTTTTCAAATCTTTAAATTGACCGAAGCTTGTATCTCTGTTGTTTAAAGACGCATCTTTATCCTTTGGCTTTCGACCCAATATGAGACTGACACCGTTCTATTGTTTTCTGGTGTCTACTGTATAGCAGTATGAGTTTCATTTCTTTGTGTTTTTAATTAACTGTTTTCACTTTCTTTTGTTGCTTTATTATTGTTATTCAATGTTATTTGTAAAGAGTTTAGTTTCAGCTGCACCTGTTATGAAATTTGCAACATAAATAAAGTTGTATTGTATTGTATACGTAAATGAGGTCATATATTTGCCGGGGGGATTGACCACCTCTATGCACAGGAACCTCATTGGTCATGGAAGCAGTGACTGTAGCATGGAGAAGGCATCACCATGCAACGTGTGCTTGTTAGAGAATATTAAGAAGGAAATATCACTTTTGGAATTTATTGAGTTTGAAATTATTTGTAGCTACAGGTTGCCATGTCAAGTAATTGTTGATTTACTTAATGATATCAAGGATAAGACCGAGCCTGCCACACAAAGGATCTCATGCATTTCCATGCGTTATGAAACTGGTCCTAATGCTCCAGGTTCTTGCCTCTGGCTCTTTCCAGGCACTCATTGCTGGTGCGCCTGGCTCAGGGGCAGGGTCGCCATTGGTAATTTCAGGAAAATATATTAATTTTATGAGACATGCGACAAGTCAGTTGAGTAAAGTATCACAGGTTTATCACTAATGAATTGATTATGTTGTACTTACGATTTAAGCTAAATCTTTAGCTTTATATTTTACTTGCACTGCATTTGCATTTGTTTAATGAAATCAACTTCAAGCTTTATTTGGGGAAAGAGAGTCTTTTTTAATATGGAAATTTGAAAACAGTGATGATGGTGACTGTTTTTTAAAAATAAATTTCTTTTACGTGACAACTTTAAGCAAGTACCACCTCAAAATGGACATGATTCTCCAAGTACCAGAGTTATGACCAACATTAAAATACACTTGCATAGTTGGCCTGTTGATTGAAAAAGAGGAAGAGGTTTTAATCCTAAATATGTATTTGATATTATGGTAATCCTCAGTGGTCAACTGTTTAGCACGTCGGCCTCACAGTGCAGAGGTGCAGGGTGGTTGTGATTGTGTGGAATTTGCATGTTCTCCCGTGCCTATGTGGGTTTTCTCCAATGTATACCAGTTTCCTCCCACTTTCCAAAAACATGCTTGGCAGGTTGATTGGGCACTCCAAATTTGCCCGAGGTGTGTCTCCCGCCTACTGCCCGAAGACAGCTGGGATAGGCTCCAGCATGCCCGCGACCCTCGTGGGCATAAGTGGTTTAGAAAATGGATGGATGGTAATCCACTGTAACATTCTGTACTGCTTGAACGTTAACACTGCACAGAAATACAGAAAATTAAAAAGCGGTTCAATTAAAATGCATTAAAGTCCTGTAACTGCCTGGCGACCAGTTCAGGGTGTACCATTGCCCAAAGACCTCTGGGGTACGCTCCAGCATTCCCGCGACCTTCGTGAGGATAAGCGGCTCAGATAATGGGTGAATAAATGTAAAAGTTCAATCAAAATGGACCAGCCTGATCACCATTCCATCGCAGAGCACAGACAAACAACAATTTTCACTCACAGTTCCACCAATGGACAGTAGAGAGTCATGCATGTTTTGGGAATGTGGAAAGAAGCTGGAGCATTCGGAGAAAACGCAAGCGCACAGAGACCATGCAAACTCAACAAAGAAAGGGCAGAGCCGTATGAGATCAGATCCTTTTGAATATGAAGCAGATGCACAGGCCCCACCTTGCTGCCCAGTATGCCAGAAATTGCTTTCTTAACAATGAAGGATGGGTGCTTATCTTTAAAGGAATATGCAAGTACACTGATGTGAAAGCGTCACCGACACATTCTGCCTGAGGTTTACAAATTGAACGCACCTCTTAAATTATCAAGCAGCTCCTGAAAATAGAATGGAAATGTAATTTTATTGCCTCCTTTTGCAATACGCAAACTGAGTAATGGAAGCGGGTCAGGTTGGAAGTAATTGATTTAATTTGAGCACAGAAGAGTGAAATGATATGTGAATAATATGCTCCGTTTATGGTTGTGGGAATGGTGCTGCTCTGACCTGGATTCATTTGCTTCATAACACAGACGGTGTGCTTCACAGAGCGGGCAGTTTTTTTTTTCTTTCCTGTTAGCATTCATGTAATTCACTCTTTTTTATGAAGTATGAATAGTTGTATCAATACAGCACTGGATGGCATTTTACACTCAGACAAACATCACACTGACCAGAATTCTCCCTCCTTTCTTTAATGAAAAAACATCCTGTTTTTTCTGTCTCTCAAAAAAATATGTACATCACTTTCCATCACATTAGTGAATAGGAAAAAAAATTACCTCACAATATGCTGTATGTACAGTACATATAAAACATTACCGGTACATCCTCTTTTTTTAAGGATGCACTTTGAGTCATTTTCAAGTCAATAACCTCAGACTGACGAACTAGACGTCCGCTGATCAAACACATTTAATGTGTGAGTATCCCTTCACTTGGAGCACTGTGTTGTCCAGTGTTGCCCTTGTGCAAGACTCTACAAAAAAATGAGACGAGAAGGTGACTAGAATGTACAGTCAAATCAAAGTAGCAGAACCGAAAGATAAGCGGTATATAATTATTGAGTCATACAGTAGTAACGTTTCTATTTCATACTACTCTCAATCCAGATTTTGAAGTTTGCTACATGAGTGTAGACTGTATAGAGTTCAGGATCACACTCCCCTTGGTCATAGCCAAAGCTTACTAGTCCCAGAAGTCTCCAAAGTCTCTTCTTATTTCCTTTTGGAGTAAAGCCGACAGAAGGATTCTCCTTGTTGTCAGCGAGCGCAGGAAGAATAAGGATTCCCCCAGTGTCAGATGGACATATGGTAGAGGGTCCATAGTTCGGCTTCTGGCTTGCACACAGCATGTTGTCAGTAACACTGACCGGCACCCCGTTACGGGCGTATTGCTCCTCGCATGGGACGATGTCAGCCAGGTGAACAAGCCCAACTCTTGCTTTTTCTTCTGCACCCAAACCTGAGTCAGGAAGTGGAGACCAGCCAGTCACAAGCCCTTGTCCAGACATCTCACCCTCGCCCGAAATGTCTGACAGGCAGAGGGGTTGCACTTTCTCTCCGATCTTTGCTTTGTCCAGTAACTTGATGACAGCTATGTCCGAGTCAAGGATATGAGGGTCGTAATTTGGGTGAATAACGATGGTGGCCACCTTTGGGAGCAAAAGAGAATGCAGTCATTATTGAAGAGCTCAATCACCAAATTATAAAGGTTCATCTTGAGCTTACCCTCAAGTGTTGGAGACCTTTATTTTCCCTGTGATCATCACGATAGTGTTTCCCTACCACCACCTTGATTTTAGCTGCATCCAGAGGATAAAACTTCCCCAGCTGTGTCACACAGTGGGCTGCAACCACAACACTCCTTTGGTTCACAAGAGCCCCACTGCACACCAACTGCCAGACAGAAGCCCGGATATGATTGCTAGCTCTTGCACTGCCATCCTTCTTCACAGACCCAGTGTGGCTATCTGCCTTGGTCAGCTTGGTCTCTGCACCGTTGTTCGAGCGACGGTAGATGGCCACTAGCCAAGGCCAGTGAGCCTCTCCTGGCCTCTCAGGGTCAAAGGTTGGATGCTTCCCACACACTGCCAAAGAGGAGGTGACAAGGAGGAGAGGATAGAAAGGGAAGACCGTGATGAAGAGGGAGGACAGGATAAACGTGGCTTACATTGAAGCTGTGTCAACACAAAGTATTGTTGAACCTTTTTTTCAGTTGTCTTCTGAAGGCCTTTTACTCTACAAAGAACAGAGCATTGCTATTTTGAAACATGTTGACCAAAATGAAAAGTAGTTCTGGTTAGGAAATGTTGAATGGATCACGAAAATGCCGTGCATGTCTCAGACCCATAAAAGGACCATACCAACCACACGTTTATGGACCTTGCTTTCTGCCCTCCCGGCCCATAAAAATGGTCTCAAACTGAATCCACGAACTTAGTAGCATGAATTTTAGACAACATGTGAGTTTTGTGTAATGGTCAGTGTAATGAGTCATATTGGTTGTGGCAAAGTGAAGCAAATTGTCAATATGGTTCCTCCTTGGAGATGTATCATCAAGCAAAATAGAGAATTGATGCTTTTGATTGTATGATGTTATCCTCGCTCAGTTTGACTATATTATTTGCAATCATATCTAATATTGAAGCCACATACAATATGACGGATGGGCTGACGCATCGCTCTGACCCAGTTCAACAATTGTCTGCTACAGAATTGAAAAGAAAAAAGAAAATTGTATTTATATTCATTTTAGATTTTCAAAGAGTTTATGGCTCCCATGGAATCTTGTATTAAACGGTTCAAATACCTCTTTAGTTGCCGATATGTCACATGTTCTTTCTCACTTGCTGTACAGTGATGCAACATGACAGTCTAAACACCGTAATGTAGGAATTTAAACATTGCCTAATGTGCCAACCTCTGAAAGTATGAGAATGATCGCTCAAGTATTAGGGATTTTAGGGTGTTTTCCTCTTCATAGAGGCGCTCATTACAAAGTTTATGTCACTCCACGAAAGAAACAAAATACAAAATACATGACGTCTTGCAACATTGCACAATGCCAAACTTTGAAAAATGTGCAGGACTCTCTCATGCAAACATTGATGTATTCATCGCGTATATGCCTGCCGACCGAACCTCACTTTCAGTAACACCTTGAAATTGGCTGTTGGAGATAAGACTGGCCATCTATCAAACAAAAATTACATAACCGGTTCTTTATATTTTGAATGACTTTGTGATAAGCAACTCGACATTAGCATTTTACAACACAAAAATAGTCACTATGATCAAGTAAAATAATAATAATAAAACCTGTTAGAAATCCAAGCCTTCAGCATGGTGAGCGGGTACTGTACAACATTTTTTCAATTTTTCTTACCCAGCTGGATTATCATTCGTGAAATGGGTGTCCGTAGGAACTTTATTGTTATGTTCTCTGACTGTACACTCGGTGGCTGTGTTGCTATAAAAGTACTGTTGAAATGAAATAGCCTTTTAACAAAATACGATGTTTGGCCAAACACCACATACTGAACGTGATTAGCGATGATTAAAGGGATGGATGAAAACCTACTTCCATCCTTGTGTAAAAATGGGCGTTGCATCTTGGTCACATGGACGGACCGTTCCGTCCCAGGGACGGAATGCCCATCTCTGGTAATGAGTAGTTCAAGCTATGAGCTAAGGTGATTGGAGAAGAAGATTTTGTTTGGTTATTTATTGTTGAAATATTATCAGCATTTTGAATTTTGTTTACAGTGTAATGTTACTGCTGGGGCTGTGCTCCATCAGTTGAATGAGGAGAATATTTTAACATGGTAAATCATTAACCGCTTAGCAATATGAAGCCATTTGGAATTTATATCAACTTTGGGCAGTTCAAACAAAAATCGATACTCATTACAATATGACCTTGTAGCAAATGGCTGAGATGTCATTGATGGTGCAAATAATAACACTGAAAAAAAAAATCAGACAGACAAGTGACCTTTCTTAAAAGAAGTACACAGCTTAGATTTTGGGCTTTAGATTCACTGTATTTTTGGATTTTTTTTTTCTATTATTTAATCTGTTTTTTTTTCTCAGTGCATGAAAATATTGCAAAAAATAAAAATAAAAACTGACCATACTGACTTTCTATTTCATCTCATTAGTGAACAAAAACATTTAAGGACCTCGATCACGAAATGTGTGTAAACATACATTTAAAAAACATGTTCTACCAAATGGTTGAGCTGGAATCTAAGGTCCTTATAACAAATTAATGTATTTTCTAAATTTTAAAGTACTGATGATGTACTTTTGAGCAGGTAGTTAACCAGTTATGATCCAGGTGAAGTTAAAAGGAACAAGGAATGATGGATAAAATGCGTATTTCTTATGAATCCAAAATTCCATGGGCATAATTGTCCATTTCTTCTGTTCCAATTGGCTTCTCTGTATATTTATGCTCTCGTTGCATCATGATGTCTATATGTAGAAAATGAAATGGTCTCATACTTCCAACCTGACCCTGGGTTAAGCAATTAAGAGACACCTAATGACAATGTTCCCATTTCTCCAAACACCAGCAATTTAGCTTGAAGTGTTCCATGATAACTGTAGCATTGCCACATATCATTATGGAGCTCTGCTGCCCTCACCTGGTGAACAAGATACATGGCGCCCACTCCATTTGCCTGTCTTGAGGCAAGTACGACGAGGGCTGCCGTGATGGTGGTAGAACGGAGACACACAGTCATATTCAATGTGTGTGTAAAGGTGGTGGAAACCCGCAGCCAACTGTGAAGGCACTGGTGGCCCTTTGGTGGGGGCGTCAGACTGGATCTGTCGGCCCACTGCGGTCGAGTACAGCTTGTGCACTGGTGTCTTTCTGAGGGCCAAGAACAAGAGGAGATACACCTGTTCAAAGCATTTTATTGCATGTATTGTTTTGATTGTGAAAAATGAAATTAGATTCAAGTTTTCTTTCTTTCTTCTTCTTTTTGTTCATTTTTATCATCGACACTTGGGTCGGGGAAGCTTGCCGATTCCTCAATGATGGGAATCTTTTAATTTAAACTACACTTTGAAGCAACAACATCGACATTAAAACAAACAAACAAACCAACCTGAATGGTGCTTGAGGGGGCAGGATTCTCTGTCTGACCAATTCTGAAACTTTGGGCTCCCGACATGCTGCAACAAACAAAATTAGAATTGTTCATTTCAGAAGTTGAAGTCGGAAAGTGAAGTTCATATATTACAGGCCTTATAGATTCATTAACCAAGAAGCTGTGCAAATACATGTCCCAGTACAATGTCTTTTTTTCCCCACAAGTCATTACATAGCATTGTCCAAGACTTCACCACAAATATGATCCAAAACAAGCTGTGTGAGACCCTCTGCAAATATGACCATGGTGTACAGGTATGTTATACTTGTTGTCAAAGGTGATGTTGTGTGTTATTTTTTTTTTTATGGTATCCTGTTCAAAAATATGAAATGTTGCTTCGTCTGAGGACATCAGGTTAACCTAGCGCAATACACCTGACACACTTAAAATATTTGGCAAAATATTTATCCATCCATCCATCCATTTTCCGATCTGCTTAAAATATTTATCCATCCATCCATCCATTTTCCGAACCGCTTTATCCTCACTCGGGTCGCGGGGGGTGCTGGAGCCTATCCCAGCTGTCTCCGGGCAGCAGGCGGGGGACACCCTGATCCGGTTGCCAGCCAATTGCAGGGCACACAGAGATGAACAACCATCCATGCTCTCACTCACACCTAGGGACAATTTAGAGTGTTCAGTCAGCCTGCCATGCATGGTTTTGGAATGTGGGAGGAAAACGGAGTACCCGGAGAAAACCCACGCAAGCCCGGGGAGAACATACTAACGCCACACAGAGAGGAATTGAATGCGGTACCTCTGCACTGTGAGGTTGACGCGCTAACCAATGGATCACCAGGCCACCGGTAAAATATTTAGTTCTACATCAATAACGATTTGTACTTTTGAGTTCCAACTCCAGGTACAAGTTCCAGATCGGGACTGAAAGTGAAAATCCTCAGTGCAACCATAACAAATGTTCTCCATCCCCACAGACGTCTTTTGCCTTTTATAGCATCATCTTCTGTTGGTTCTGTGAAGTAAATATGATAAAGCATCGTCATTACCTCGAACACACTGGGGCTGTTTGCCACTCCAGGTACCATCTGGTTGGCAGCTTCGCAGGGGATCTCCACTCAGAGCGTAGGAATGATTACAGGAGAACTCCACAGTTTCAGGCTTGGCCCCTGGCATCATCACGTGATAACCATGGTAGAGGCGAGGGGGAGGTGGGCAGCTCCTCTCTGGAGAAGAGCACTTCATGTTCAAGGAGGGAAATAAGGGCGAAGAGAAACTTACTTATTCACATTCTTTCTTACCAACAAAGCTCTGGTTTACGTCCTTCTCTTTTTCCTTCGCCTTTCGATCCGTATCAGGTTCCTTTGGTTTCTGGGTAGGACTTGTCTCCGCTTTGTCCTCTTTAATCGTTGGACTTTCCTTTGGCATCCCACCTTCCTCACCTCCTGCCCTATACAGCGTAATATTGACTCTCGAGGGAATGATTTTCCTTTCTGGTAAAGCTGTTGTGTTGTTTTTACTTAAGTCATTCAGATCATCCGTGACTGTGTTGTTCTTTGCCATTTCCTGTTCAGAGATCTCTACTGCGTTTATATCCTCCGAGACGACCGTCCTCAGTTTAGTGTCGTTGGGTCCAACTTTGCCAGAGTCTTTTTTTCCATTCACTTGCTCCTCTTTTCTTTCCTTCTCGCCTTGTCCTTTGTCTTTTATCACCACTACATCAGTGGTAGCCGTCTCCGACTTTGAGGACTGGCGGTCGTCTTTCTTCCCAGGTTTTACTATGTCAGCTTCTTTATTCTCGGCTGTGTCCAACCCATTGTCTGGACCGACATTACCCACTTTATCTCCACCGCCGCTGGTGGTTTTCTCCCGGCCATGGTTTTTTTCCTCTTCATTCCTGTCCTCAGCCAGAGTTTTCCCTGGAATAGTACCAGTGGTTGTGTTGTCTGCTGTTGTACTCCAACGATCACTTTCTTTTTTGACACCTGTGTTCTCCTGGTTCTTTTCTTTAGCTTTGCTGTCCTCTTTCTCACGGTCTGTGTCTTCTTTGGTTGTATCTGTACCTTTTGCAGTCTCTTTTGCAGTTTCCTTGTCCTTTTCTGCTTCAGTGAGTGTGTTATTCACTGCAGATAAAGAACGTGTGAAAAGATTTCTTTTGTCAATTATAATTTTGAATGTTGTCTAGGTTGGCACACAAACAATTTCTAATTTCACAGCAAAGGCAAAGCTTGGCACATTATAACGGTGACACATGATAAACTCTCACTGACTGGGACACGTTTGTGTAAATCCATAAAGTGTGAGATTGTTTTTCCCTGTTACAGAATTGCTATACTCTAAATCAGACTATAAACATCTTTCCTGATATCCACTACCAGGCAGTGCTCAACATGAGGCAGCACTATTAAGTCCATTATTATGTTTAGCGTAGGTTTTTCATCTTTTTAAACAAAATACACGACTCTGCAATTCACCAGAATTACGACCAAAACATGGACAGCCTTAAGGACAACACATTTTAAGAAATAAAGAGCTTCATTGCAAGATATGAGTTTGTTCATGGTTATGTCTGCAAAACTACTGAGAAGTGATCATCGTATTCTTTTTTTTTAATGTACCACTAAAGCTAAAAAAATAAAATGAAAAAAAAAATCCTCAGAGGAGGTTCTTAAATTTGACTTCTCCTGCAGAACAAATTATGAACCATGATTGTTTGTTTGCCCTTGAGAAATGTGTGTAACATGAGAAATAAAGGCTTTAGAAAAGAAAATGAAATATTCCAGTTACTTGACCTGACCTTGCGTACAAACAGGTTGAGTTCCGCTCCAGGTGTTGTTCGGAAGGCAGGTCCTTTGGGAGACCCCACTGAGTTCAAAGGGCTGATGGCAAAGGTACTGGAGAGCAATTAAAACATCATTGGGACCGTAAACCAAGAAGTGGTCCCCGTGTATTGGCTTTGGTGGTAGCGCACACAATCTTTCGATTGGAACTTGAGGACATAGAAAAGGTGTCAGTTAAATGATGGTATGTTCAGTGATTATTATTTTCCATTGAATCAATGATGAATAAAGCCAAGTTATGGTTTACCACACTGTGGGGCAGGTGCACTCCAGGTGCCATCACTCAGGCAGATGGCAGCCCCTAATCCCTGCAACTCAAACCCTGCATCACATTGGAAAGTGATCCGTGCCCCTGCGTGATGAAACGCTCCCTGTGTGGATCCATGGGTGGGCACTGGCGGCCTACGGCATCCCACCACTGAGCAGAAATACAAAGCGCATGCTCAGATCTTTTCTAAACAAATTCTGTCTGTAAAGAAAATGCTCGATTGTGAACAGAGACTGTAAAAGGGTTCTCTTCCATCCCTCAAGCACTGATTAAGTGTACTTCGCTGCTGTAAAAGGCCACACAAATCCACCAATGTGTGACTTCATTGACTTCTGTTGCTTATTGGCCACAGGTAACATGTAAAAGTAACCCTCTGAGACTTAATCTTTTGTCAAGAATGTCAACACTTTGAAAGCAGTAAACCGCACAGACTCATTATTGAATTGTATGAACAGCTCACGGCACAAATTGGAGCACATGGCTTGTAAACGCTGAAATGAAGAGATGCAGTAAAAAGGATTTTCGGCTAAATGTTCCATTTGCAGAGTAGTAAAAGTTGATTGGATAAAGTGCACGAGAATAGCTTTGGGAATACTTGATGGAAATGCAAAATTATCTGGACAGCTTCAGTAAATAAACACATTATACAAAAGGTGTAGCTCCTAACAGGCTGAAGGTTGTTTTTGATTTTTTTATGCAATGCCATAAAAATATCTTAAATTCATAGAGTAAGGGCCTCCGTGTTGCAACGAATTATTGATGTCAGTAAGTTTGATGTGCTGTTATCTTTTAGTTGGACCCGGTCAACGGCATGCGCTGTACCCTGATAGATCCAAACCAAGGATCCTTCCTGACAATCTTGTATTTTCCAACACATTCAATTTCCAATCTTTTCCTCCCTGATGGAAGGGAATGTTTTTGGCTAACCACCGGTGCAAAAAAAGAGTGCAAAATCTGCAGTTGACTTTTTTTTCAGGGTTGTGAGCGGCTTTTAGATCTGAGGTTTTTCCACCGCGGCTCAAGGGGGGAAAGCTTTCATTTTAAGAATGTAACACTTACACGAAAAAGACAGCTACACAGGGTTACCCTGGCAGCACGTCAGATTAACACTTGCAGGCTTCCAGCAGCGCAGATTCCTTAGTACTGCAATGAAATATCCTTCATGTTTCTTAAAACTCTTTATGTGATGACATTGGGACACAAATTAAGACAATTTCTCAATGAAACGTGACATAGGAACATTACTCGTGTTTCTGAAATAAAAATGACAGGCTGGAATTCCCAATGGATTACAGATGAATGAACCACTTGGCGTTTTATGGGAAGGCTGCCTCAAGAGAGCGATGCAGACTTGTTTTACCATTTATTTTACAGCCTTGAATGTAACCCTGAAAATGACACCACAACAAAACTTCTTTTTGCGGGCTCTTCTGGGAGATGTGTAAAATATAAAAACACAAGTTAAGTTCCAGACACCCATTAACGCAAGAGAGCCAAAATGAGGGAGCACAAACTCACTTCTTCCACTGCGTTGGGGGAAAAACTTTGTGACATTAACAGAACAACACACATGCAGTATAATTTTCCTCTTCCTTCATGTAATTGCCATATTTCTGCAGATTTTTTTTTAATCTTAATTCCAGGACAGCTCATCTCCACCCAGCCCAAACTACAGTAAACGCCTCCTCCTCTTAAAATAAATAAATAAATAAAAATCACCTTTTCTGATTCGAGAATAAATAATCGGGGTAGTAGACTTTGCCATAAACACCATCAAAGCAATGTTGAACAAAACACGTTCTGTAAGCCCAAACTAAAATAAAATACTTGACATTTGGCTATAAAGGTTCTGAGAATAAATAATCGGGGTAGTTCACTTTGCCATAAACACTATCAAAGCAATGTTGAACAAAACAGTAAGCCCAAACTAAAATAAAATACTTGACATTTGGCTATAAAGGTTCACTTGCCTCTTAGAGTCCACAACATTTTTCGCTCATAAACTTCACTCGAACTGAAAATCTCACCCAGGAAGTTAACAGACTTGAAACTATGCAACTGAAACTGACCTGCTGCTGGTTACTTATATAAATTATCAGACCCCAAAACACATTTGAGACATTTCTCTTAGGGAGTAAAACATCGCCAAGTGTTGATTTTAGGGATGGATGACGACTGTAGAAACTATGTCCAAAATGTAATATACTGTATTTCATTTTACTAGTTACTTGCATTTAAAATTAATATGTTTCTTCACAATATTACCCTCCATGTAGAGCAGGGGTGCCTAAATCCGATCCTTGAGATGATCTTGTTTTACATGTTTCGGAGATTAATTGATTTAACCCTTTGATGCACCCTCGAACCTGATAACATGGTAAGCTATCCACTGTAGTAACAACTGTCTCTAAAAAGGGTTAATAATGATTTTGACATTTTAAAAGGAAAATGCTACATTTGCAACGATTGGTGGTAAAGTTAACTTGTAATGACTTGTAATGTATCACGACATAGTGTGGCCAGTGGAGTAAATATTGACGGTGCAATCAGTGCGATTCACTGGATTTTGCAAATAGAATAGCTTGGGGGGGGGGGGGGTTAGTCATGCTGTGTGGCTTGCATGGGAGGAAGAAATGAGAATTTATCCAATCAACTGTCAGTCACAATGAGTCTCGGTGAATTCACATGGTGCACGCAAAAAAAGAACAAAAAGAAGCAAGATGAAATCAAAGACAGGCAAAAAGAAGCTATAGCGTCTCGCAGGAGTTGAGCGGCAGTTGGCCAGCTCGCTCCATCGCCGAAGCGGGATTGATCTTACCGCTGTATCTCGCTTCTCCAAGCGGTCAAAAGGAGAGTTGCACGCCACCACAGCATCAGAGGACAAATTCGGCACATTTGCCTATGCCCACCTGTGCACCTGCTGCAGGGACTATTCTGTCCACACATCGAGGACGCTACCATTATATTCTGCCTCCAGACACCAATTCCTAAAGCGATATAATAGCAATTTGGCTATGTACTGTAGGCCTTGCAGACAATACCCCAGAAACAAAAAACAAGACTTGCTGAGTACAAAGCCCTCAAGATAAGCTTCAAATGTGTGAGTACAGCTTATTGTTGTTGCTTTTTTTCCACAAAATAACCTGGATGGTTCGGCACATCTGCAAAAGATCATTTTTACCCATGTTAAAACGAGCTTTCTTTCTCATCTGAATACTCAATGGCCCCAATCGTCCCATTTGGGAATGTGGAAGCACAGTTAAATCAAAATGCCAAGATCACGATGGCAGAGGTCGAGCAAACACGATAAAATTATGTTTAAAACAGGTTGGGGTAGAATAGAATAGACCAGCATGGTTTTGTTGTGTTTTCGTTGTGGCCATGCTGGTTTCGCCAGAAAGAGCAAAACTGCAGCAGCAAAAGCAAACCTACTAATATTCAAAGAGCCCAGCCCTCGGTCAATGGGTAACCCGCCCCATGAACTGAGCCACAGTCGCATAAAGACTGTCTCTTTTATGTTTTTTAAGCATTATTGTTTTACCCATAAAATAAACGCTGGGATTAGTTATACATCATCACTCATTTTGTACTTTACGTGCTCAAGTGATGAGACATTAATTATTGTCTTCTTCTTAAATATTGTCAGTTTTAATGAAATGGGCTTCATTCATGTCACAGCAGGGGCCACGTTAGGTATGTGGGATTTGTGCCAAACGCTTCATTTTGACATCCAGAAAAGTCTGTCAAAAATAAACATTCAATACATTTTTATGCTCCTAAGAACATAAAGTAATTTCAATATGCAGAACACTTTACACAAATTGACCATCAAATATGAGTACACTGCACCCGAGATGTTTTGACAAAAGCTATCACACAAAATAAAACTGAATTAAAATTGGTAAAACATCTTAAAAAGCTTAATGCTTGGTGTGAATCTCAACAAATAATATCTATATATTTTTTAAAGACTATTATGAAATTATCACCTTCACTTTTCTTCTGCCACTCAGGCTTTTAATCAGGCAAATTAGCATTGAGAAAAACGAGTGCTCTCAATTTTTCAGGGTTGAGGCGGTTTCTCCTTTCAGGGAATGTCTGTCCCATTCTCGAGAAAACTCTCTGAAGGCCTGAAGTTTTAACAATGCACATCCTCTTCATCATGTGCTTGCTAATCCTACAACACGCAAGTTCTCCGGCAGCTCCTCCTCTGCACCTCTGCCCCGATTTCCTCCAACACTGCTGTTGTTTACTCGACCTCTCCCTTCTGCTCAGGCCTTTGGTGACTTGCACTGGTGCAGCTCGCATTGCACTCAAAGAGTTTGCAAAGGCTCTACTCCCATCTTTCACTTTAAACAGCTCTTCAAAAGACTCCATTTGTTCGTGATGGTCACATGGCTACTAATGAACTGCTTTCACCTTCAGGTCTACTTTTGATGATTAATTTTGTGTTGTGGTACTGTCCTGTCGTAACTGTGATGTTACAAAAATATGATGAGAAACTCATATTACCGTACTTTGTTACTGCCTACAATGTGTTACAGCAACACATTACTTTTGTAAACCACAACACTGTTCATAAGCAACAGCAATGGTGGACAACAGCGAACGGAAACAGTAGTGTATGTGTGTGGCGAGAATGGCATCTGCGTGTAGGCAACATGCACCATTTCATAACATCACACTAGACTACAGGGGTTGTTCCTGCGATACCAATTGACTAATGATGACTCATTTGACCCAAGAATGAATGTCAACAGTACCCTCCCAGCAACAACTAAAAACAGATGTTAGTGGGTTTGGTCCATTTTTGTGATGTGTTAAGAGACTTACCATTTTCACACCTCTTGCCTGTATAGCCAGCCAGACAGGCACAGTGATATGTGTAAGAGCTGTCGAGGATACAAGTCCCGTCGTGTAGGCAAGGAGAGGAGCTGCAGGCTGTCACAAAATAAATACAGCGTCAGGGTACATAAGTCAGGATTGTATTCATTTTAAGGAGAAACATAAAACCGTGATTGCACTGCAGAGTCTGAAGTGGTAGAAAGCGGGGTATACTTCAAGCTGGCGCCATTTCAATGTCATTTTCATTTTCCGTTTCTAAATGTGTGTGGTCAAGTCGTGAAAGGCGTAAATCTCTTTTTATGAGATGTGGCTTTGCAGTTTGTACAGTAAAAGTGTGTCCGATTTTGAGCACACATTTTTTTTTTAATTGAATGCTCTGACATAAACCTGCTGTCGATCCACCTCTGTCAGTCATGTACATTTGCTGCAATGTTGAGCATCTGAAAGATGCTTGTTAAAATCTGGTTAACCCTCTTGACATGCAATCTGTATGTGGTGAGATTGACAGCAAAAGCTATAACCTTCAGTTTAGCATCTCAAGACAGACAGGACTTTCAGACAGCATACACCAACGAAACCAGTACTATTGATTCTCGTGAGTTGCTGAAGCTTTGTGAGGCCGTTGCATTACAAAGTCACATTGTAAAATTGGGTGTGAGAAATATTGTATTTATTTGTTACGTAATTGTAGAATTCATGCATACTTAAGGTTTCCATGCAATAACTGCAAACAAAACACTTAGAAAAATATGTAATAAGCCATTTTACAGTTGTAGTCTTACATTTGTGGTGGATTTTAAAGTTGTATGAATGATACAGTATACCATCAAGGACAGGCAGGCCTAAGTACAATAAATACTAGCTAGGTGAGTTTGATAAACACTGCAGTTTTGTTCCTGTAAGAGTTAGTTGCCACAAAAATATAGGCACGGGCCCTACAAAGCTGTTAATGTGAAGTGGAGAAGAAGGCGAGGTCACAAATATGATTATGTAAAAAAATGTCTTCTTCTGAGAGAGGTGACTGGTTTTTAGGCGTTCCTTTTTCCAGACCTCTTTGTTCCATTATACTGCCTCACCTTATCAAAGAAGACTTGGGTGGGTACCCACGGGCAGTACCTCGACTCGTAGAGGCTTGACTTACGTCATGTGACAAAGTGAATTCTTCACACTGTCAACAAAACAATAACACTGCCCAAACGTGGAAAATCTTTGGGATCCGCCTGAGCTCTAATTATTCGAGATTCATCACTGATGGTAGAACAGTTGATTCGCCTGTCTTTTGTGCAGACAGCGTGATTTCAAGTCGCATCAGTGAATGTGTGAGTGTGAAAGGTTGCCTTGTCTCTTTATGTGCCCTGTCATTGTCTGGTGAGCAATTCACGTTGTAGTCTACCTTTTGCCCGATGTCAACTAGGATAGCTTCCAGCTTCCTCTGACCCTGATTGGGATAAGCGGTGTCGAAAATGGGAAGATGGATAGGTGACGTAAAAAGGAATGTTGGAAACCCGCTGGTGACTTGACTTATCTTGACTTGAGTATCATGCTGTCTAAAATTGGGACCGACAATCCAATTAAATCCAACATCTCAAACCATTTGCAATGAAAAGCTTGTTTGTTCATTTTGGCTCTAAATGGAACTTTTGCAACTTTTTCATTATGCTATGAATTCATTGTTTTGGTGGTCATTTGGGATCATATTTGTTACTGAATATGCCATACTCTTCACAGCATTTTCCTCTTAATGACCCAATTATTAACTAATTGCATAGTGTTGCACTTTAGTGTTGCTTTAGTGGGAAGCAGATGCACATTAAGACATACCTGAACTCTCCTGGAATGTTGCAAAGAAGCCATCATAATTCTTGTAACCATCAGACTCAAAATGAATGTGGAGACTGTTGCCAGAGCTCCGAATGGGAGCGGGTCTGTTGTTTCCACAGAACCGACCTATAACACGAGAGTTGATGCTGTCACCATCTCTGACCTCCACGAAGTCATAGCGACAAGAATGATGTACCTCCAAACTCAGCATCATAAACCTGTTGGCATGAAGACCGACATGAATGAAATAAGCAAACAAACACAATCCAACACCTTAGCAACTGCTGCGATCACACCCTCTCCCGCCCTATGCGAGCACCTGTATTATCTGGCAGCGCTCCACTAGCTGCCAATGCAGTCGTGATGCTTCAGAGCACTCAGAAGGAAAACAGGCAATGCACAGTTACGATTGACAGTAATTACTCTAACAGCTGCAGAAAGTGACTGGAACTCTGAATACATAATTTGCTGATGTGAAAGGTGACTCAGATGGATGTTTCATTGTACTTGACGAGGAGTAATTTACTACTTACAGTTTTCATATTGGAGATGCAAATGAAAGAACGCGTCAATTTGTGTTTTATTCTTGTCACTGCAAACACATTTCTTTCTTAGGCCAACTATTTACAAGCCTTTCCCTTGACTGACTTTGGAAACCTCAATGATCTTTATCACTCTTCACGTTAAGAAGATATTTATCATGGACACTCTTTTTGTGCCTGTTAAACAGGGAAAATGCACATATAAATACTTTTCTGTTTGTGTGACTGACGATTATTATTGCGAATAAACAGCATGATGGCTCTAGCCTAGATAAACTTCTTAATTATGTCTGATCAGTAGCTATTAAATGTCTATAAAAAAAAAAAAAAAAAAAAAAAAAAAAAACAACCTTCAACCAAAACAAATTTTGGGGCCCATGTTGGTACTTCAACACACCGTGGTTATAGAAAAGATGCAAATGATGTGACCATAGTTTGCCTCACCATGATACTCGAAGCCATCATAACTACATGCTTATCCATAATCCATCCCTCTATTTTCTTTATTCCATGGGAGGGTCAAGGATGAGCTGGAGTCGATCATTGCCAATCTCAGACTAAAAGGTGGGGTACATCTTGAGCTGGTCAACAGTAAGTCAAAGATGGCTTGGAATTCCTATGACATCTTCAAAATAGAAGCTAAACTGGATTTCTGTTGACATTTAGAAAAACAGCATCCCACCAAATAAGCCTCCAATGTCTTTTAAAATGTATGTATGTCTAATTTAGCATCAGACTGGAAACGTTCACTGAAGGGCTTTAAATCATTTCTTAACATTCAGCATCCAGCAAACTATTTTTCATTCTCAGTGCTGTTTTTAACTGTGAAAGCCTGCACAAACACTTGACTATTAAAAAATGGATAAGTAATGACGCACTGGAAAGGTTATCACTCAGCTGTAAAGTAATTAAAGGGGAAAAAAAAAATCCTGCTGGGTTTTCCAAAGCATACTTTACAAATGACTCATATTGTAGAAATATCTGAGCTGAACAGACATTTGATCTACTGCCAGCGATTAATCACGATTACAGATGGCCAATTCATATTCCAGGGAAGGCTATCATACCAATCGAGGACAAGCCTTGACCTGAACAGCAAGTTGAAGCTCGGAGAGGGAAGTTCTAATTGTCTAGGAAAGAGACGTTTTTTTGTGCGCCACATAACAGCAGTACCACCTTACCTGAGTTCGATTGTGAAAGGTTGGTCCACCTGTATTGTCCACTCGCAGCGAGCGTTGTTGGGGTAGCTCTCCAGAACTATGTGACCCTGGCGTTTGCGGATCACCCCACCACACTCTGTTTAATACAACGAAAAGAACCTTTGGACACTTTTGGATACTTGCACAGAAACTGATGTGTCTACTGTATAACATTTTACAAGCTTTTAATGACAGCTTAGCTACTATGTTGGTCTATAGGCTGCACATTGGTCTGTTTTGGCTCTCATTATGAATCCAGAGTTCTAATATGCTTCACATCAAGAAAAGAACACATCATGCTGTACAACAAACAAAGATGCTTTTATCCTTATAATGGCAACAAAATGTATTATATTGAGCGGGAACATATAATGGTAAAGCCGTGGAGTCCAATTTTTTTCCATATGAAAAGGTATCTTCAGTTTTGACTGTCAAGAAGACCTCATGGGCATGGCCATTCTTCCAAGAGGGCATAGTCATCCCAGATGTAGAGATGTGCAGAGGGAAGGAAAAAGCATTTACTTCACCCCACAGAAATGGATGTAAGTGTACAGTCATGTGTTTCTTCAGAAATGTGTGTCACTTACTCATGCAATCTCCACCAGACCATCCAGGTCGACACTCGGCACAATATTGGCCACGGATGAAAAAGTCATCTTTGGGACCCCATGTCCCGTTGTTGCACCGTTTACAGTTCTCAAAAAGACTGCAACCTGAAAGAGACACAATGGGATCCAAGAGCCTAATCTCAAACAAGGACCAAGAATCTTCAACAAGGGTGACAATGTGGTTTTTGCAGTCACCAGGCTACCCTCAAAGACCATTTGCTGTGTTCTATAAATGGCTCATCTGTGATGTGGAAGGAAACCGGGGTACCTGGTGAAAATCTACACAAGCATGGAGAAAAGCAAATTCTGGAGCCCTGATGTGAACCCATGCACAACCTCACAACTGTGAGGCGGATCTGCCAACCATTTCCTCATCAAGACACCCATAGTGAATTAGTCTCTTTCACAAATATTTTAGAACTGCAAACGACATGAAAGTGGCAAAAGACATAATAATAATAATAATAATAATAATAATTCATTCATTCATTCATTTTCCGAACCGCTTGATCCTCACTAGGGTCGCGGGGGGTGCTGGAGCCTATCCCAGCCGTCTTTGGGCAGTAGGCGGGGGACACCCTGAATTGGTTGCCAGCCAATCGCAGGGCACACAGAGACGAACAACCATCCACGCTCACATTCACACCTAGGGACAATTTAGAGTGTTCAATCAGCCTACCATGCATGTTTTTGGAATGTGGGAGGAAACCGGAGTACCCGGAGAAAACCCACGCAGGCCCGGGGAGAACATGCAAACTCCACACAGGGAGGCCGGAGCTGGATTCGAACCCGGCACCTCTGCACTGTGAAGTCGACGTGCTAACCACTGGACTACCGGGCCGCCCACTAATAATCATAATCATAATAATATTAATAGATACTAATGAAACAAAAGAATGTCAACTCAAAATTGTGCAAGGAGTGAATCATTTTGGGCATACCGTATTCACGGAACAACGAATCTTGAGTCAATAATACCATTTGATCAGCTCACCAAAATATCATCTGTAACTTCATCCTGAGGCCGTGACTTACCCTAGCACACAGCACTATCTGCTTATTCTGCTTGACCCCCAAGCTTGTAATGCAGAGTCACCACTGCTATAGACCCTTGATACATTTCCTTCATATGAACTCTGCTAAACTCATTACTCTCATCTTTTACTGTAAATGGATGCGGAACCATTTTTACTCCTTTTATTAGAAACATGGCAAACAAAAAAAAACCTCAAAATGGTTTCCTTAAAGGACGGATTTTCACTTAAGTGGCTGCTGGGTCAATTGAGGGGGAGGGAGGCAAAGTATGACAAGTAGGAATTGGAACAGCAAATGGGAACTTACACATGGTAAATTATGACTCGACTGTGCATTGTCCCTATGAGTACATTTAGTTTTTTTTACAGCTCAACACAAGGGACTTGTGTCCACCGTAATTCCCAACATCTGTTTTTCTTCTCTAAAAGCACTTTCGTTCTGTGTAGAAAACATGACATTCTTCTGGAGGAAATTGGCATTTCAGAAAACAACTTGAAGAAAGAAAAAAAAAAGATTTAGCGGCAAACTGAACATGTGTGCTGAAATGACCCGTATTGTCAGTACATAGGTATGCACCTCTCCTGTAAGAACCAACATAAACACCTTGAGTTGCATTAAACAGTCTCAAGATTCATAAGAGATGTTGTGATGTGAGGTTGGTATGGAAACAAATTAGATCAGACATAATATTGTTGCTTTCCAGGTTTCCCATTGCGTTTATTTGTCTCCCTGCAGTGTAAAGGCCAAAGGAATCAGACAGCTCTTGGTGTTGTGCCAAGTACATGGCACGCATTATTGAAAGACTTTAAGATAGAGCTGACTAAAATCAACATACCCTCGCAATCTCCTATTTTCGTGTCTAAAAACATGCCACTCTTGTGTCGAACAGCATTGAGATGGATGATGAATTGACTCCGTCTGCCTTTTTTTTTTTTTTTTTAAATCTGCGGGTGTAATATTTAGAGAAATCCACATTCTACAAAAGATTCAATAGAAGTGCTGTGATATTCTAAGTAGATGGCCGTATCTTAAAAAGAAGTTGTTGACTCTGGTTGTAAACTGTCCACCATATTATGTACTCGTGGCCAAAGTTGGGTCACGTGCCTTGCACACATAGAACAGCTAATATGGGGTGTATTCATCAACCTCCACTATATGAATACAACATATTATCAACTAATTTCGCAATGAAACATTCAGCATCGCTGCTTCTGGTCCTTGATTGTGGGCCAGGCGCTCTGTCAGATCCAACTTAAGTCATATGTGACAGCTGACCTTTTTGTGATTTGGGATGAAAGGACAATACATCCCTCAGAGACATTCAAAACATCTAGTTAAAAGTCTACCCAAAACAATGGAAGCTGTATTTGTGTTATGTTTTTGTTTAGGTTACGTTTGGTTTTGTGTCCTTTTTGACTGCACCTGTTCTCGTCATCTGTGTCCCTTGTGTTGAACCAATCGGCTCCGTCAAACCTTTGTGTCTCGTGCAGGTGTTTCTCGTTGTCTCTTCACTTAGCTTGTATTTAGTTCCCTGGGTTCTGTCAGTCTTTGTTGGATCATTGTGATTGTTTGTTGTGAGTGTCTGCGTGCTCCTGTCACATCTTGTTCCTGTCATGGTTTTATTTATTTATTTTTTTGCTACTTTGGTTTCTTGTGATTTTCAGGACTATGTTCGAGTACTTCAGTTAGTTTTTTTCCAGCGTACTCCTGTTTGTATTTCCTGTCCTACTCTACCACCACGTAAAACCTGACAATTTGCTTCCATTTTGAGTTCCTCGAGGACGGGGGTCGGCAATACGCGGCTCTGGAGCCGCATGCGGCTCTTTAGGCACATCTAGTGGCTCCCTTGAGCTTCATAAAAAAATGTTTGAAAATGGAAAAAAAAATTGATAATAGGCTAATATAGCTCAAATAGATATAGATACATGTTGCAGCTCCGAAAAAGGAGAGCTGTGGTGTTGGTTTTTTAAAACGTACACTTTATTTATGCTTTTAACAGTCTCGACAAACACAGACACGTCTGTGTCCGACTCCGTGCCTTCTCTCTTCTCGTTCAACTCGAGAGGCACTCAAAGACAGCCTCAGAAATACGGAAATTAATGATAATTTCACTGACACGAAGAAAAGTGAAAATAATGCACCAAAACAAAACAATCAAGCAAGGAAATTACAAAATAAATTCTATGGGGGCGTTTGTGAACACACAACAAAGGAATGAATAACAAACAATTCTGAGACAGTCCAGGCTCCTACATACATACAGCATGTGTTTCCTTCATTGTAAGTTTTATAGAAGGCTTTTATTTTTTTGTGCCTCTAGACATATTTGTTTTTTGGTTTTTTTTTTTGTCCTATATGGCTCTTTCAACATTTTGGGTTGCCGACCCCTGCTCTAAGAGTAGTAGCAAGCAGTCTCAATTTGTTTTAATACTGTTGACTGTCTATTTGAATACATCTTTTCTGTTTTTTCATTTCTAAAATGATCTGACCTGACACTAGGGATGGCATAGAGTTCATTGAATGAGGAAAATGTTGGTAAATATCAAAATATTTCAGAACAAGATTACCAAATAGTGCCAATCACCTGGCAGCCACTGATGAAGTTGTACCTGGATGGATGATGCAGGGGTCACACTCATTGATCGCATTGCGGCAGCATGGTACAGCGTAGCCCACCGATGTCCCCTGCAGGGGGCATTTGCAGCGGATCACATCATACTCGCAACATCCCCGGCACATGACGTTCCACTCCGGGCCTGGGCAATGGTTGTACAAATACCTGTAATCTTAATAATAAAATACCATACTTTAGACTGACAAGCCTCATTTTAAACCACTCGGAAAATATCCACAAAAGGACTGTATCATGAATACAAAAACAGAGAGGATGATAACCGTGGTTGAAATGGAAGATGTCAAATAGCGACATTTACATGAGCAGCCTCGACTTTGATGTCCACAGACGGCTACTGTGTTTACTGGTCTTGTGTTTATGTGCGCTGCTGCCGAACGGCGCTCTGCTTATTTACAAAGCTATGTGGCCTCAAGCTTCTCTTTGGAGTTACCGTGCGTGCGTGCATGCGCGCGCGCGTGTGTGTGTGTGTGTGTGTGTGTGTGTGCGTGTGTGTGTGTGTGTGTGTGTGTGTGTGTGTGTGTTTTGTGTAGGAAATCAAACATCAAGCAAGCTGCTACAATATGAAAGTCACCATGACTGACAATTGAATCCATTAGACAGTTCTGGCGACATTCTAGATACTTTGAGCATTTTTGTGTGATTGCGTCAAGGTTTTCTGTTTCATTTGGGAAAGAGACAGGGTCATGTCCTTGTGGCAGAAGAACAGATCCAGCACTTTAAATTTGGCAGTGTGTTCTTCCAACATTGAGCTCATCATTTGAATTCTTATTTGACACATTATTTGTACATTAAAAGCAGACAAAGTCCCTTCAAATACTATGAATGTTTCCTAATTTCATCAAAATCTTCCACTATTTTTGCTCCACAAGCATTGGTACACGTGTCAAATCCTGGTCCAGAAAAGTAAAAACCCTGCCATAGTGTGACTATCGTCGCAGGTGTTTCTGCTCAGCCCGAAGGTAAACAACCTGACACCACTGCGATGATACAATGAATTTGATATCAATCACCTGCAATTGGGCAAGTGTATTTCCCGGAGGTTAATTTCTCTGCAGGCATGGCAGATTTTATACTTTATACATAAAGCTGCTTGCGGGCTTTATGCTGTTTTATATCTTCTTTTCCCTTGCCGAAGTTATTTTGTATTTGACGACGTGGGTTTGGTTGAATTTGTGCTCGAAAGCTCCACCAGTCTTTGACTACATCTGTCTGCGCTCTCAAGAATATGTAATGAATGCCTCCAAACAACACAAACACACCAGGCACGTCTCACACACACACACACACACACACACACACACACACACACACACACACACACACACACGCACACACGCACACACTCGCTATTCAAGATTTCATACCAACCACTAGTTGCAGGTTGTTGTTGTGGCAACAAATATAAACTGACAACCCCATCAATTTTGTTTTTGTATACTGGCAACTTTGTGTTGAATTATTATATTTCAGAATGTCTGTCTCCGTTTGACCAAAACGATAATCTTATACTTCACGTCCAAAATGATCATCCTTTGGGGATTTCCATGCTGGAACCACAAGAATGCACTGTAAGCGCGGACAAGACTTCTTTATAGAAAAGTTGATGAAACAAAACAAAATAGCATCCAACACAAGTAAATCCTTGTGTGTGTGTGAGAGAGAGAGAGAGAGAGAGAGAGAGAGAGAGAGAGAGAGAGAGAGAGAGAGAGAGAGAGAGAGAGAGAATTAAAAACAGCATATTTGGCCAACAAAACTGATGAGTGATGTTTTGAGGCAGAGGACAATGATTTGACGTCAGTCTGTGAAAAAGGAGACCATTAACACTTTTCTGCTTTTGGTCACAAGATAAAAATTGTTGCTACCAAGTGCACTTCAGATGACTGATGTTTTGTGAGTAACATGACTCGAATTATATCCATTGTGCAATGTGGGATTAAAAGCATCAGACAAGTTACTGATGAATGTCAGCATTCGTTCTGTTTACTTTGACCTTTAACCAGGAGCAATGGCCCCCAGCACAAGATGAAAAAAGTGTTTAAAATGTGTGATGAGTGCCATATGGTGACTGAGGGGGTGCAGCAGACACCATTTCTTCTCATGAGACCAATTTACTTCTTTCCTACGAGGTAAAGGACATTGGTCCAAGAGAGTTGAAAACCTGAATTAAGGCCTCAGAGCTAGCATGGTAATGTCATTAGACGGGATGGGGCTGTGTCCCTAGAGAGCTGACCTACGGTTCCTTCCAACCCGTTGAGGTATCACTACCTCAAGTTGAAAATATGATACTACATTCTTTCTTTATCATATTTGTAAGAGATATGTTTGTGAGCAGGTTTACACCGAAAAAAAAAAAATGTCATCAGGATTGTTGAGGTGGATGCGCCAAGTAGGATCACATTACATTTTCTATACATCTTGAAAATGTGTATGGAAAAAAAGCAAAATCAAGGAATTTTTTAAATTGAACCATTGTCCTCTCCGCGGAATCAAAGTGGAGAGTCCACCATCTGAGATCCAAGGCATTATGTCATTCTGCATAAATCAAAACGAAGTCTGAAGACAGCCGGGGTAGACTCCAGCACGCTCGTGACCCCACTGAGGATAAGTGCTGAATGTTTCGCCTTTACAACAACAAGTTGATTGCTGTATTTATTACAGTGTTTTGACGTGTGTACTGATGATGATAGTGTTCTCTCACTGCCTTGTAAAAACACACGTGGTGGGGGACATCCAAGTCAACACCTCAAGCTAACAAAAGCCTTGCAAAGAAACAATTTTGTGAGGAATTTTACACAGTTTGGGTTGTGCGAGGATTATTCCTTTGCCTGTGTGCACATAAATGGAATGTTACTTGAGTTCAGAAAGAAGTACTGTTTTTAAATTTATTTGAAACAAACCACATCATTGATTCATAGAGGAAATTACATTAAGATCCAGATTTCACGAAGAGTTACTAAAATGTGTTCCTTTACATCTGTGATGTAAAAAAAGGCAGCCAGTGAGCTGCATGCCCAAGGCTAGTGTACTACATTTATAGGTATTGTCAGACAGGTAGTTGTGCTGCCATTTGGGGGGTGGGGGAGGGCAGGTCAAGAGAGATTCCTCACTGAGCTTTGGCAAACATTCAAAGTGTCAATTCTTTTGTTGTTTGGTGTTTTTAGGTAGATTTTTATTTGATACAACCTCAAGTATCCCAAATCCAGAGTGATGTGGAAGCCAGTGGGACGAAGGATCAGCAAAGAGCGCCTAAGCTCTCATAAAGACATTCAATTTGTTGACGTGTGCTTTATTCATGGTCAAATTGTTATTTCATTGGGGGAGGAGGGATTTTCCTTCAAGGGAAATGTATTATGAACGATTTTCACTTGAGGATTATCACCCTGGTGGAACTTGATCACCAAAACCATGACAGTTTGATTCTAAAGCTACAAAAGTTGCAGCAGGTATCGAAGCATCCATGCAAAAAAATGACACTCAAAACTGATGTTACGAGAAACAACATGGTGGAGCTGGCCAAAATCACACTCACACTCAACCCTGATGAGAACATACAGCATAAAGCATGGAACAGTCAGTTCCATGGAAAAGCAGCAACGTGATCCTGAAGTCCGGGGTTCAGGGTTTTAGGAGGTTCATTATCTCATGTCTCCTCTGAGTGCAAAAGAAGAGTAATATTTCCCCACACTAAAATAGTGTTGTTTTGGGATACACATTGTATTATTTTACTTCATGGCCCATCACTGTTTCTTTTTGTGGTTTTCTTATTTGGTTTCATTGCACAGATTTTTATTACTGGGCAGTCACTTGGAGGCTGAATGTATTTGTTAAATTGCACTGAAGGCACAATTTCTTGTACAGAATCAAATCTCAGCATTCCTGTGCGGAGTCTGAATGTTCCCCCTGTGCTTGTGTTGGTTTTCTCCACTTAGACTGACCTTTATGTTCTTCTTTTTTGATGTCAAACCCAAATGTTTACAGCAAAAATAAAATAATCTGCCTCACCATTTCAATACATTTGGAAGGGAGTGTAGTTCAAGCACAACTAGAATCACAGTAATTATTATGGTAGTTTCCACTTTGACCTGAATGCAGACTGTGTGTTACGGCGGCTTCTTGAAATGGGAAGTGATGTTTGATCCCCCACCTCCCTACAGATGGTGGAGACTCTTTACAAGCATGTGAAAAAGTCAGACAGAAGAAAAAACAGTCATTGTCACACTTTTCATCACCTGGTGGAGACCTCCTTGTGCCACATGGCACTCTGATCCAGAAAAAAAAACAGTTAGCATCTGCAACTCAGCTGCACACCTTTTGATCTGACGCTGACATCATTGCCGACACAGCCAGAGAAGTGGTCATGGAAAATGAATACTTTACTCCATGTATCAGTCGAGTTTGATCCACAACGCAGTAATTGTAGACTTGAGGTCAAACAACCTCTAAACCCTGACCTTTGTTGTCAACAACCATCCATCCATCCATTTTCTAATCCGCTTATCCTCACGAGGGTCGCGGACTCGCTGGAGCCTATCCCAGATGGCTTTGGGCAGTAAGCGTGGTACAACCTAAACCGGATGCCAGCCCACCGCAGGACACACACAGACGAACATACATTTGTGTGCACAGTCACATATAGGTACAATTTAAAGTGTTCCATGAACCTACAACGCATGTTTTTGTTGTGTGGGAGGAAACTGGAGTACCCGGAGAGAACCCACACAGACACGGGGAAAACATGCAAACTCTATACAGGAAGGCCGAGATTTGGGATTGAATGTGCTGATCAGTCGACCACCGTGCCGCTCTGTCACCAACCAAATTATGGAAATTAAAGAATTTTGAAGCTACAGTACGTTCGGTAGTAGGAAATAAAACGACTAACATTTCCGTAATTGACTAGTCTGAATGGCTATTGTGGATTCAGAACCTGGTGCAGATTTTACATTTGATTGATCGAAAGATTCAAAGCGTTTGTTTGGACTGTTTCAATTGTTGGCTTTCACGGCAGATGACAGTTAGGGGAAAATACGGGAGCTGGATCAAGAGTTACCCCATTTGCATAATTCAATACGTACTGATACCCAAATGCACAGGAATGCCTCTGTGCATCCCACCGTCTGTGGCGTTTGCACCTGTGATCATATAGCTTGACGTTTTCTTGCATTTTCTTGCTGCCATGTCTTATTCTGCATGGAAACTAAATTATAGTTATTTAATACTGGATCACGTAAAGGCTAAATGTTGTCTAGCTGTAGCCAAAATATTGACATATGAATGTAGTAAATTGCAATCCCTCACACATAAACCACTATTAGCTATTGATACACTATCCAAGTAAGTATATTCACACTAGTTTTTGTGTTTTGTTTTTTTTTTATGATGCAAATATTATTATTATGAATGTATTATCAAAGCTGCCTAGTGAAACCATTTTCTTACAACACGTTCTACGCGGGATCATGGGGGAGTTGAAGCAAGCTGACTTTGGGTGAAGGACAGACAACATCAAGACTGGTTGCCAGTCAATCACCGACTAGAGTGGAGAGCAGCAATCACTCACACTCACACCATCACTCAATGGGAACCCAAACCCACACCACCTGCATGGAAGACAGGTGAGTGACCCATATTCAGTGACATCTATGCCCAGAATAAACCACAAATGAAAACACATGATTAAGTCAAAGTTGGACGAATGCATACAGATGTATTTACGACATCCATCTATTGTGATACATACATAGAAACGCTTAATTCCTAATTACCCAAGTGGATGTCTGCTTTGAAAACTTTAATTCGGATGCTAAGTCTATCTAAGTATTGTTGTTTGTTTGTTTTTTTTTATTATAAAAAGCTTAATTGGACTATATTTTTATGATACGATTCAGAAAGCAAAATGTAATTTTATATTCACTTATTTTAATTTCATAATTGGTATTTACTTTATTCTTAATATGCAATAAGAATATTGTACAAGTTTTCCTTTGCTCAGTTGCATCAATGTTGTAATGCATCATAGCTTTTCAAGAGTGTAATTACAGCAGAGTGTGAATTGCTTTTGATTTGCCCCCACACTGCAAAGTGTCGACAATAGACAATGTATTCTGAACAAAAACTCATGCAAAACTGCCTTGTCAAGTACAGAACATGACGCATTTATTATTATTATTATACAGTATACAATTAAACCATTTCCTCAAGGCAAAATCGTGGTTATTTTAACCATGACATACGATGGAAAATGTTCCGTGTGCGAATGTGCAAGTGGACTTGCGTGGTCGCCGCAGCAGCTGCCTGGTATTTTGAGGTCAGTGTGATTTAACTATCATGGAACAAGAAAACTCCCGAGGGAACATTGTGGGCACTGCAGATCTAAGTGTGGGCTTATCCCGCCGCTCATCCTGTTCATTGCTCTAATGAACTTCCTCTGCTCGGAAAACCCACAAACGAAGTGTAATATCATTTTATTATCCACTTGGAGGGATGAAAGGTTTAACTTACAGTATAAGGGTACGTCGCACTGCCTGGGATTGACGTTTCTCTTTTGTATGGTGATCCTAAAAGCATCCCGCTGTAAACTTTAATTGTCCTGTTTTACTTTTGTTAATGCTGACACGCAGCACAGGAAAGAACACAACACTATGCAGTTCAATGATCCTGCTCATGCACGCCCTTATAGAAGGACATTCTAAACATTTGCATTCAAATTGTGAATAGAAAATTCTCTTTGCAGCTGCTGCATTGAAAAGATCAATGAGCAGATGACAAATAGTCTCCAGAGTGACTCAGCTGACAACACTCTATGAAAGAGGCAAGGAGCTTTTGTAATGACTGCCAGTCAACACAGACGAGCTCACTGGCCAACATGACTTTATTGTGTTTTGACTGCTTGGAGATGTGCAAAGTGGAGTCGGAGGCCAGAGGAGACTTTGGCACATGCATCACTGCAGTCAGCATGATCGATTCAAACTTTGCTTGCTACAATCCTGTAGAAGTCATCAAGGGGAAATACACGGAGACTATGTCAAGTCAGACCACTATGACATTTAAGGGGAAATTGTTGCACAAAGACGTGTACCAAGTCTGAACAGTGCTATTAAAGAAATGTGCTGTAACAGCACTTTTTTTGTTTTATGCGAGACCAGATAAACAATCTTCACACAATCATGAATGTACCAGATTATACCAAACTCTTTATCTCATCTTTGCAAGAGACGATGTACAAAATCACCTCTGTTAACAACAGTGCCATATATCCTTCTGAAGATTTGGGCATTCCAGTCCTGCTTTTGTGCTATTAAGGGATGTAAAGAAAGACTGGATCAAGACAAAGAAAGATATTGGCTTTTTGAGAACAAAGGATCTACAACGAAGAGAAAGCGTTGAACTATACAAGTAAACTTGGTCTCTTACTGTTGGGCCAGCAGCTCCCCTGAGGTACGAAGATAAAGATGAGGAGGAAAATAAGAGGGAACCAGCCTGCCCTCCCGCTGATAATTGTGCTGGTCCCGGGAATTGCGTGGGAGCCCCCATCGGTCTGCCCCAGCTGTAGTCCATGTTCCGCAGACAGCATGCTGCAGTCTGGAACTCTGTTTACTTTCTGAACTTAGCTGACATCACCATCGCAAACTCTTTCAATGCTTCCTGCCCCCTCCTACTAATTTTCTCTTGCTCACTACCGCCCCCCCCCCTCTCTCTCTCTCTCTCTCTCTCTCTCTCTCTCTCTCTCTCTCATTATCTTTGGCTTCAAGTTACAGTCCAAGTCTCCAAATGGTCTACCCTATGGCTTGCCATACTACCCTGCTCCTTCCACATGGAGGTCCACGAGCATTACTCTTAAATGAATGCAGCCACTAACCTTTAATGCTAAACCCATTGTGTCTGTCATTCTTTTGTTCACACACGCACGCACGCACGCACGCACGCACGCACACACACACACACACACACACACACACACACACACACACACACACACACACAATGAGGCTAAGCACATGACCGTTGTACAAATGATGTGATGGAATTCATGTCTGGTGGACTACTCAAGTGAACTAAAAAAACTCAGTGTACCGGTAATTTAATTTTCGCAATAGTCTGATACTGAAAACAAGTGTAAAAGTGCAGCATGTTTCACTAAATGACATTAAGCAATTTTCACAATGTATATAAACAGTGGCACCTATATTATTTGAATGTGTTTGGATTTAGAGTATCTTATTAAATAGAAAAATAAAATATTTGTACCACCATCATGAATCTCTCTCTCTCTCTCTCTCTCTCTCTCTCTGTATATACCTGTATATATATGTTTACACACACACACACACACACACACACATGCACGTGGTAGGTGGCACGGTGGTCGACTGACTGGTTAGCACGTCAGCCTCACAGTGCAGAGGTGTGTGGAGTTTGCATGGCAGCCAGTTCATGGTGTACCCCGCCTACTCCCCAAAGACAGAAAATGGATGGATTACCATCCATTATCTGAGCCGCTTATTCTCACGAGGGTCACAGGCGTGCTGGAGCCTATCCCAGCCGTCTTCAGGCAGTAGGCGAGGTACCGGAGTACCCGGGAGTACCCGGAGAAAACCCATGCAGGCACGGGGAGAACATGCAAACTCCACAAAGGAAGGCCACAGCCCAAATTTGAAACCCAGACGTCTGCACTGTAAGGCAGATGTGCTAACCAGTCATCCACTGTACTGCATCTACCTATCTATCTAGATATATTTTATAGCCACCCTTCTTGTGAAAACTCCACAAGCCACCACTGATTCAAATGTACTCTCATTGTTTCATCCATGTGTCTTCCATTCTGCTTATTCTCACGAGGTTCGCGCTGGAGCCTATCCTCGCTGACTTAGGGCGAGAGGCGAGCTACTCCCTGGAATGGTTACATTCTTTTAGTGAAATTCAATTCATAATGTAATTTAAGGTTTTGGTCTTTTGAAGAATATTGCTTGTTTGTTGATCATTGTCTTTCTCTGAGGTCATCATTTGACTCAGCTGTGTCATGGAAGCACGCCCATGATTGCTGCTGACAAGGCCCCAGTGTGTTTAATCAGCCTTTTTGGCGGCAGGCCAAATTATTCAAGGAGAAAGCAGTTGGAAAAGAATTGGATTGACTGATTACACTGTATGTGTGTTTTGGCCAATAGCTGTAATTGAGTGTCCTGAAATGACACTAATCTGAGACAATTATTTTATGTGGTGTATGTATATCTTCGAGATGTTTTAATTGTTTACTTGGTCTTCTACAACTCTTTTGTGTTTGTTTGTTCTAGTGTCTTCATATACAGAGCAAATTTATTTGGTAATAGGTTAGAATTGGAGGTATGTTGGTGGACCTGATGTACAACACATACTCACAATCGGGCCAAATTTGAGCATATTTCCCTCTTACAACCAAAGTCAGCCAAGGTCAAATCTTGAATGTCTTTCAAAGAATTTTCTGAGTTGGGTGGGTCAAAACTGATTTTTCTCCCTCCCTAATCTACTCAGAAAGCCTTCAGAGCTCACAATTGTAAATGTTAAACTTGTTCAATATTTAAGATCACTGACTTTGGCTGAGCCATGAATTCTGTTGAGTTATTTGTATATGTCTCATAAGTAATTCATGCCAAAATAAAAGAAAAAAATCTAAGTAGAAAAGTTTACTACCACAATGCAGTGAGCAGATAGATCTGTTTTTTCCCAGTACGACTACATTTTGATGTTGTTGCTAATTGTTGCCTCTCAGTTCATGTACCTCGACAGGCACCAACTTTGGGGAATATATCTTGTGTGTGGTGTGCTCTGTTGGTCATTGTGAGAATACCATGCCTGATTATAAAAAAAAAAAAAAAAAAAAAAAAAAGCATAGACCAGCACATTTTTGTTGTGTTTTCATGCTGGTCTTGCTGTTATCACCAGCAAGAACAAAACAGTGGAAGCTACAAAAGCAAAACAAAAAGAGTGAAGATTAAAAAAACTGAACCTTCACTCACTAGGCTTCATGGTCTGACTCAAAGCGACGCACGCCACCAGACCAACATGCTGTTGTTGCCTTGCTGGTAGCTGGCGACACCAGCAAGACCAGCTGCTCACCCGCGCCAGTTCCTGGCTGGGCCCCAGCAACATGCTGCTGCTGCTGTGTGGCTGTGGCTCAATTCATAGAGCGGATTGACCCGTGACCAAAGCTTTGGCTGTTCAAGTCTTGGCTGTTTTGCTTTGAGCTTGCTGCAGCAGCAAGAAAACACGACAAAAACATTCTTGTCTATGCTTGATTTATTTATGTATTTATTTATTTAAAACATGGATACACTATAGGAACAGTAAGAGCACATATGGCTTGTGTGAGGTCTCTCATTTATTTCAAACTCAATTAAGAGTGGTATAGGTGTACCCTGCTTTAGTGTACATCTTTCATGTATTCAAGCTGTACGAAGTGCATGTTGTAAAAAAAAAAAAAAAACAACAAAACAACAACAATCAGAGCTCCAACAAATTGCAGTTGCTGGGCTTCTTCTTATTTTGCTGGTACCGTTACCAACTATAGTGAGTATTTTCCTTTCCTGCAAACCAATATTCTTCATATTATTTGTATTTTTCCAGAAGCAGTCCAAACAAATTATGAATGATATTTGACAGATTTGGCACCAGAAATTCAAATGTAATTTGACAGCCATCACTGAATCTTGAATGTGTGAATATATTCATCCATCCATCCATCCATTTTCAACACTGCTGATCCTGAACTGGGTCACGGGGACTTGCTGGAGCCAATCCCAGCTGCCCTTGGGCGGAAGCAGACTACACCCTGAACTGGTCACTAGTCAGTCGCAGACCACATATAGAGCCAAACGACCATTCACAACCACATTCACACCGTTACCGAGTGGGAACAGATGCCACGCTACCTGCACACAAGTCCGGCGCGTGTACCACTACACCATCAGCGACACGTGTATATATTTTGAAGCGGACATTGTACTATAATAATGATGATGACAAATCTATGTAGCTTGCAGTTTGGAATAATGTGTAGCTGGGCACTGAGAGCCTCGCCCCTGTTTGTGTGCATGGATGTATGCCTTGCAGGTTTGATGTGTTGGAGACACCAGCAGCTGCACCTGATCTGACAAATTACATTGATTGTAATTAGAGAGCTCATAACCCTTTCTGGGATTCCACTCATCACCAGATTGCCAACAGTCGATGACGAGCTGGTCCCCGTTCTGGCTCACACTAGGCCAGCTTTGCAGCTCTTCTCTGCCAGGTAGGATTCTGCATACGGACATCTTTCAACACACCCATCCCATCATAATCTGCTGTTATTCCTCTTGTCTCTGCGTTCGAGCCCTACGCACGACCAGAGCCTGAAAATGTCTTTTTCAGGGCGTTTAATAAAAGAGTGCAAGTAATAGACTGAGCTGCCAGCAGTCCAGACCTCTATCCCATTGAAAATGTGTGGAGCATTTTGAGACGCAAAATATGACAACAGAGACCGATGATTTTTGGAAGGTTTTACAGGCATCAAAATCAAAAATGTTCAAATATTTTGAAAAAAACAACAACAAATCAAGAGTGTTTAGCATGTTTTTTATGTTTTACACAGTGTCCTTCATTGGAACTGGGGTTTGTCCTATCCATTCACCTCATCACCATTTCCTTGTGCCACCCCTTGTAGTCATGGTAACAAAAGCCATACTCGGTGTTGCCACCACAGTATAGGTGGTTGGAATGTTTAGCAGTGACTCAGTTGTATGAGGATAAAAAGTTCAGCAACAAGTTCAGGAAGTATCAAAGAGAGGATGAAAAGTCCTTTAGAGAACTTCAAATCCCTCCTCAAAACACACCTGTTCAAACTGGCTTTTCTTTCATTTCTGTTGTCTGATTTATTGCTGTCCCTGCTTTTTGTTGTCATTGTTTTTCCCTTACTCTGTAAAGTGTCTGAGTGTCCCTTTATAGATCCCATGTATAATTAGTATTATTAAAATTGTACAGTGTAATTCTTGATCCTTTTCTTTTGATAAAGCCTTTGGCATCTCCTCTCACTGAAATGAGTTTCACAAGGAAAAGCAAACTGTATGCACAGTTTATCATTTGGCTACTGAATTTGTTGTTGTCTCACGTGACGTCATGCACAATGAAGGTTTGAACTCTTAAGTTTTGTCTGAGCTTCGAAGCAATGACATTTTGGATGATTGTATGACCTGTAGGGAATTCAAATGTGTCACTGTAATGTCACTGGTAGTACATAAAGAGCACAAGGCGGGTTATTTGTCCCTTTCCATTACTAATGTGCTGGGAATCTCGTTTGAATTCAACACTTTTCTCTTTTACATTAGAAACAGGTCAGCACCAAGGTGGCTACAGCTGGCCAAAGAACATAGGCTCATTATGTGGCACACTTATTCCAAGGTAGACTGATTTGGCTTTTACACAGCTCCAATGTTGCTCTTAAAAGTATCGTTATATGTGTGGCTTGTGTAGAATGATGTATTTGTCAATGCATAACCCATATCACCTTGTGACTGATGTTACCAAGGTGTTAGTTCAATTAAAAATGGGCGTGGAACTGGTGAAAGTAAGTAACAAGTGATTTTCAAAATTAGAGTGTAAAATGTATAACAACCTCAATAAAAACAGTTTGAAACAGCGGCAAGATACATATATTTGACAATATGATTAC